TGAGGAGAGGGTCGAGCGGTACAGGCGGACTGAGGAAGTAACTGGAGTCTTCCAATAGGTTTTCAGGGGCTAGGTGGACGAGCTGGACGAGAGTCCTAGGGTTTGCTATTTCCAGGGTGAGTTTGTAGGGGCCTGGGTGTCTGTAGCTGACTCTGGGCGGTCGTACTGAAATGGACTTTAGCCTTGGGCAGGGTCTCTGAGGTTGAGGGGCACGAGGCCCCAGACTTGGCCACGTTAGGGTTGGAGGGGTCTGTGTATGTGAGCGTTCCCACGAGGGTTAGAGGGGCCCTGTTGGGGCTGCCTTCGTTTGGAAGAGGCCTTAGTAGGGCCATCCTAGGGGCTTCTCCCTGGTCTTGGGGTGGGAGCAGGAATCCCTTTCCCCGTAAAGTTGCCCCCTTTTGTGGAAGAAGGGAATCTGGGAATCCGGTGGCTTTGCGTCACCGTGGGGCAAAGTGAGAATTCCTGGAGCTGTTTTGGGGGAGAAGATAAGCCAGGGATGGGGGGACTGGTGGCCAGTCCACACACGTCTTCCATAGTTGAGGGCCTGCCCAGCCTCTGGGAGGCATATGCCCACTGTGTTCCTGGTTGTGTCACTCCGTCTCTTGTGACCTGCTTTGCTCTCTGCGGTAACTGACTTCACGCTTGCATTTGCGCTGTGAATTGTCTCTTCTCTTCCCAACCCTTTTGGGCTCTTTTCTCTGAGCCGCCCGTCCTCCGGGCCTGGGGTCTCCTCCAGGCAGGTGGACCCAGGCTGATCCCAGCTCTTCCCAGCCCGTTTACCACTCCTGCCTCTTTGTCTCCAAAGTCTGAGCCTTCCCACGCCTACAGGGCTGAGCCTCTGCCCCAGAAGCCTGAGTGGGGGCTCTTGGCTCTCTTTCCGAAGAGGGATTGTTCAGCCCTGAGCCAGCTTCCTTAAAAGGGGGCTTGTGTGGAGGTTGCACATTCAAAATCACTGGAAAACCCTCAACAGATTATTGTCCTGAGCTACAGAGAGGCCACTGTAGTGAGATGGTATCAGTCTTTCCATTAATACACCCCTTGTATTCATGGGCTTTGTAACTTGGCACATAGCACGTTGCTCCGAGATGCAGTTTCCCTCATTTATGGTCTCCATGTGGCACTTTCCATCTCCGAGAATAATAAGTGACAAAATCCATCTTTCTTGACTGAAAGAGTCTCCTGTCTCTAAAGAAATAAAATCTTTGCTTCGTTTCTCTGCTTTTCAGTTGCCGGGAGACCTTTTGTTGTTGTGTCGGCAGGCATCCTTGCGCTTTAATGATAAAATGACAGGTATTTTTTCCTGACGTGTGATCCCACCTACAAGTTATTTTGCTGTACGACTGTTCTGTTTGTTAGAACAGGATACTGTATTTATATTGGCGTAGTTATACCGATTATATTCTACAGTAATAGAAATAAGCTGCTTTTTAGTGGAGGGAAGATTGTAGAAAGAGGTGATTCTCTCAAGTCTGAGGCTATTAGGGACAGCTTGTTTCCTCTACCTAAGAACCTGGAGGTTATTACATGAAGGGAAAGGCAGATAAATCGAGCAGAACTTTTTTTTTTTTTTTTTTTTTTTTTTTTTTTTTTTTTTTTTTTTTTTTAGCGAAGGTGACCGTCATACCAGAGTCCCCTATACAAATGCTGACGACTGACGTATTGATTAGGCCACATAATTCAAGTTAAATTACTCAGCAGTACTTCAGGGCGTAGTGCTGTTAAAACAAGGAAACCGAATGAGAAGACCAAAATACCCTAGCCAGGCAGCTCAACGAGCAATAGTCACTTAGCAAATCCTGTTCCCCCAGTCACGTGTGGCATGTTTCTGTAGGAATGGGTATAACACGAACAATTAAAATTGTGGCCATGGTCCTTTGACTCAGCTGTTAATGTTCGGCATTGGTTTATTTCGGGGTAGTTGGGAGACACAGGAGAAAATATTCTGTCAACTGTCCACTCTGAACCAGGTGGAACTTTCAGACTTTGGACTCCTACACTCCAGGCTGGACTTGGCCATTTCGCAGCTGTGTGATTTCAAGGAAGTTAATCCACCTCTCTGAGCGTCTGTTAGAGAAGGCTAACATGATGTTTATTTCATAGAGTTGATACGGGGATTATGTGAGATAGCGCGGGTTAACACAGCGTGTAATTAGTGCTCAATAAAGAGTAATTGCAATTACTAATAATCACCTAGTTCTTTTTAGGAAGTTTACTGCCAGTCGTCAATACCAGGCCATCCTGACAAGTTCATAGCATCTTATTTCAAGAATGTTAAGTAAATTTTTATTTACCATTAGCTTAAGAAACATCTTATCTTTCTGTGGTCCAAATGATTATGTATCTCACCAGGTCCGAGGATGAGATTGTAAACGGAACAGGCCTTTCCCAGCATAGAATCTCTTAATCTGAACCAAAGGCTTTTTTTTTTAAATTGGCAGAAGGAAGTGTTTTAAATTGTAGAGTAAGACTTCTTCAAGCCTGAGGGGATATTTTGTGGCGGCTGGAAAGCGTGGCTAGGTTTTGAAGGCATTCACTGTTAGGTTTAAATACAGCCGTGTATTCTGCTTCACTTACATTGTTTTAATTGTGGTGTGTGAGCTTTAGTGCAGCTCAAGACATTGAAATCGTGCTGGAGCTGGAGCTGTTCTCTTTTTCGGTGCCCCCGTGTTTCTCTTTTCCTGTTGGTCCCGTCCACTGTGTAGTTCCCTAAATGCAGTACCCTCCCTGGTGATCTTTGCTCTTTGCTTTCGCTGTGGGCTAACGTTTCATATGCACACATTTTATTTTTATTTAAAGTTATTTTTACATGGCAATGGAATGCGCCTTCTTCTATCCGTCCACATTAACCCCGGTGGACTTACTGGGCACTCCCTTAAAAGGAACTGTCGCTTAGGGGATTAGGCAGCTAAACCGCACGTCTTGGGTCCTGTCTCCCCGTGTGCTTCCGGAGGGAATGTCGGTTGGTTGGTTGTTGCTAACGGATAACTACACCCAACTAAGGGTTCAAATTCAGGATCTCTGTGCCTTTGGCAAGTGAGAGTGCCCACATGCAGAAACACCGAGGGTCTGAAAAACAGATTGTTTTGTGGAAAGAGTCTGGTCTGGGAGACGCTGTTTCCCTAAGGCGTGTTCTGGTGTGATTGGTTTGGGGCTGCAGAGGTACTGCGTGAATCATAATGGCTCATTGAAACGTACTGACCTTGCTTTAAACCCAGGGACTGTTTCCTCAACACCAGCTGAGTGCTGGTGGGACTGGTTTTTCGAAGTTAAAGTTTAAACGCTTTGAGAGTCTGTTAACTGGAGTTTGTTTCTGCTCACATTGTGCAGTCATTGTGTATGCAGAGGCTTCAAACTTCTAGGTTTCAGTATTCTCTTCTGTGGACTTACTGTTTTAACTCTTGAGTAAAAACTTACTGTGCCTGGCAATATTTCCTGAAATTCAGTTTTATCTGATTTTATTTTTTTTTAAGTTTGTTTATTTGGTTTGAGAGAGAGAGAGAGAGAGAGAGAAGGATACAGAATCCCAAGCAGGCTCCATGCTGTCAGTGCAGAGCCCGACATAAGGCTCGAACGACGAACTGAGAGATCATGACCTGAGCCAAAACCAAGAGTTGGACGCTTAACTGACTGAGCCACCCAGGCGCCCCTGATTTTATTTTTTAAGGAGGCATTAAGATTCATGAAAAGGGGTGCCTGGCTGGCCCAAGTCAGTAGAGCATGTGACTCTTGATGTCGGGGTCATGAATTCAAGTCCCACGTTGGGCATAGAGCTTACGTACATACATAATTTTTTTTTTTTTTTGATAATGTAAGGAGCATAGCCGAGACTTGTGTGACCTTATTTCAGTTACTTAAACTCTCTGTGCTTTGGTTCCTCCACTGT